AACAAATTGAAAAACATACTAGAAGTTTTGGCTCCAATATAATAGACACTTTCGGCACATTTTTAACCTTTTTTGAGCGTTCACGTTTACCCGACGATTTCTTCCTCATTATTGATCCAAACGCGTTATGAATGCATACGTGTGAAAAACTACAAATATTTAACGGAGAGAACGCAATTGGGTAAAACTATCTATTTTGCCTTTTTCTAAGCTCGCAACAATCGGGACTTTGGGCGATTTGTACGAAACTTTTTGCACCTTTAGCGAAAAGTGCGTTTTAAAGATGAGGATAACTTCAAATTGCTACTTCCATTGGTTGGAAAAATGCGATTTTTTAGTCAGAGGGCGAGTGGGGCAATGCCAATCTAGTTGAGCTCTCGGTTCAGTTTAGAAGAATTTCCAGACTCCAAGATTGTACCAAAACTCTAATTAACATCGACTGTTTCTTGCTACTGCGAGCTCTTTATTTGCTAAATTCAATTCGAATGTGAATTCGACACTGGAAAGCAATTGCCTCGATAGACTGAAGCGAAAATCCTGCTCTGTGTGAAAGTTATGAATCGAAATTGTGCATCAATTAGCTCTTCCATTGCCAGCAACAACAGTTTCGCTAAAGTTGCCTACGCTCAACTGCTGCAGCACCAAATCGATATTTGTACATGTCGCAAAGCCTGATTTACTGTGTTAAGCGGGAGGATGTTTCAATTACTTTTGCGTAATGCGGCATTTTTAGTATGTCGTGTTTCGAACCTGAGGCTTTTTAGCCTTTTKMTCAGGTGAACAATGGGAAAATGTKCTTGGATTGCACCAGAAGAGACCGCAGTTTCTCAAAATTCAYCCAGGGGTTTAAAGCCTCGGGCATAATTTTTTCGCCCCAAATAGAGAAATTTGTACCGTGTAGTACCCATACAACAGGATTACTCTCTAAGTCCTCCTAGGCCTCGAACTTAGGAGGGAATTATTAGGGTTGCGGTGTTCGGACCTTTCCGAAGAGATAAGGCCCATTATAAGTTATGTGGGTGCCCCTTCGCACTAATGTCGAGTTAATTTGCTCCCCATTCCAGCTGCGGCTAATTATTAATTGCCCTAATTGAATACATGCATACCTAATTGCCGATAAGGCTCGGGATTAATTTTGTTTGAATTGGAACGTGCCTTGGATCAAAATTCTCGATTGTTGATTTTCGCATTTGAATCGCCCTTTTAGCTATCGAAGTTTCAGGGAGGAATTAATGTGCCATAGATTTTCGCTCAATGGAAACATGTATGATTTCGTAGTCAATAGCTGATTTTCTTGTCTGTCTGTGCATAAATGGTGAACTGTGCGCATATGGAGACTGGAGAGATTTTCGGGATTTATTTGGGCAAAACTCTCGTTTACAAGCTCACATCTTGCAAATTTTCGCAATTAGCTATTACAGATTTTCCCCACCTTTAAGCGAAAAACGGCTCTAAAGATCCCGCCCGTTTGATTAAGATCCTTAGCGAACGTCAGTCAAAATGCTGTTTTTACTCAACTGCACTCTCACCGTTAAAAATTCGCTTCTTCAGAACGAASGCAAGTAGCAATTTTCAATTTCACAAATCGYTAATARACACTTGGCCCTAATGCTCCGGAAAACCTTAAACAAATCGCCCGCAAGCCTGATTTTTGCCAGCTTAGAGAACACCAATCTCAAAATTGTTGTCTYTGCTCGATWGCACTCTCACTTTTAAAAATTTGCGCCTCGCGAACTACTAATGCAAGCAGCAACTTAAAATTTTCGGAATCTCTAACAGACACTTGGTGCTAATGTTGCTTCAAAGTTTAGACAAATCGCCAGCTGTCCTAATTTTTTCCAGCTTGGTAAATATCGCGCTCAACATTATACAAAACTGCTAGTGGAAACAAGGCCAATCATCCATCTAACGCGTTTCTACAGTAATCTGCAAAAAATATACACGACCCAAACAACTAATCAATTTCTCCAGGCACGTGAAATATTTGCCTGTCCACAATAAACATCAGTTTTGCAATTCAAATGCACGTAACAGATTCTGATAACAGTCCCGGATTTATTGTTATTTGATGGACATGCGAGGTTTATTGCGTTTGTATTGGCATGAGCCTCGATCAGCCTGAAGATGGACTGGAATGGATGGAATATTTGCCAAAAAGTTCAACAATCCGAACAGAMAACTTTYGTCTGCATGGAATGATGAAATTTATTTCAAGCAATTAACATCAATCTGTGTTTGATCAGGCAAAGAAATCAACTTTGTAMATCGGGTCATRGTGATCTTCCAGAAAAATTCAGAATTTGACTTTCTTGTTCAAGAAACGACCATYTTTCYACGACTTGGTGATKTCTGTKTAGTTTTGCTTGGCCCAGGGGCGGATCCAGTTTAAATTCAGGGGGAGGTTATGTAGAAAAAATACAGWCTTCTGTTGTCTATRAAATTAGAAAAATTATCGTCGTTTTGTGAAAGGGGGGCGTAAKATTATTGCAAAATTTCATGTTTTCCGTSCCGTTTTGCATGTTTCTCGGAAGCAAAATGAGCAAGAACGCTCATTTGTGCGTCATTCTATAGAGAAATAAATGGCCTTTTTAGCAAGTGAACCATTGATAAGGAAATGTTAGTAGTTT